TCTTTCTCTGCAGTTCTCTGGGAAAATAGCTGAAATTAAGGGCCCACTTATGTCTTGACATGGACACATGGTCAACATTATTTTTCCTGCCATGTTCTCATGATGTTACAATCATCTCATCTTCAGGTATTCCTTTTCAGTGGGCAATAAACTGTGCAGTTTTGCAATCTAACACACTTCACAGATGATTTGATCACTGTTGAGGTCTAGTGAAGGATTCTTCTGGCACTTTCTGACCAAGTTGAGACTTCTGCTGGTATATTCCATAATCCCTGGAGAGTATTTTCCAAGGTTAATCTGCTTTGAATAGAGTGTGAATAGTAGGAGAGACATAAATCACCCCAAAGCAGCTGTGAGAGTGAGAGAGAGACTGTATGTTAAAGCTGGAAGAAATAAGATGGTCATTTTTCTGCAGCTTCCCAGTGCAATTTTCTCCAGCATGTCAGTTTTTGAACAAAGATTTTTCAGAATGACCCTTTGCTATAAACTTCACTAGAACTCAACAGTGATCAAATAATCTGTGAAGTATACTAATTATGCTCATTGCAAAACTGCACAGCTTATTGCTAACTAAAAATGAATACCTGAAGATGACTGTAACATCATGAGAACATGGTAGGAAAAACCTCTTCTAGAATTCAACTAAGTGGTATCTAAATACCACAATAAGTATCTCTGCTATGGCAAATGGTTTTGCAGTTGATGTTCAGGGCTCTTTTAGACATGAGTTTAGTCCTGCTCCAGAATAGCCTAAAGTCCTGTTTATAGGAGTTCAATTAGAAGTTCATTGTTGATTGCACTCACACAAAACACTTGCACCAACCAGAATGAATAGTGACAAACAGCTAAAAGTGCTGGTCTGGCCATCTTCAAATCTTGTCTCTTCTCCAATGCCATCCCATGTTAATTAATGGTTATTTTGCCGTTGGAAGTTAACATTTGATGGAATTTGATTTGACTAAAACGTAGCTGAGGAGCCCATCAATATGTGTGGTTAATGTGCACTACACCTTTAAATAAAAACAGCACTTGCTGGCATCATGCCTCTGGCAGAGTAGGATTGTCAATAGACACAGCAAGTTATAGTTTTCTAAAAACTCAAGGACAGGTAGGTAGCCTTTTAGCTCAGCTGTCAGGAAGAGCTGCAGGATAAACAAATTCATCGTAAAGCCTCTATAAAATCTGCACTCTAGTTTTAAATACAGGACAATGAAGTGAACTTTGAAATAACAAGTCAGCCTAAAACTCAGTGAAGAAAAATAATCCAGCAAACTAAAACAGTATAAAATCAGAATCAGTTTAAAAGGCATGGAAATCTCTATCTATGTCTTATCTCTATCTATCTTTTTATCTCTATCATCAATCATCACTTTTTATATATATATATCATATCATATCATATCATATCATATCATATCATATCATATCATCTATCATCTATCTATCTATCTATCTATCTATCTATCTATGAATGCAAAAAAATTAGCATAAATGAGACAAGCCTGCTATGTAGACCAATATTGTCTAAAGAGATAATAAAATACTGCTTAATGTACACCAGTTTCATAAAACTTAGGAAGAGAACTTTCCAGTTATTTTATTCTACCTGATCAATCAATACGGCTTGATGTTGTTTCTGTCTTGCCTGACACTGATCTCATCCCTATAGTTCTTTAAGAAGCCAGTTTATGAAATCATACAGATTACTAACTCAAGTTTGTGTACTTTACCCGGAGCAATTCTTAAACAGTGGTCTTACTGAACACTGCAAAGTTTATATAAAACTACTGTTTTATATGTAAAACATGTGCTCTACTACTAATCTTCTCTTTCCCATAATGAATCCCATCATTAACTATTCTGATTTACTGAATTTCTGAAGCTCAGATAAATTTCTACATAAATTTGGATTACGGGGATTTTTTCAGTTCATTCTTTTGCTCTGAGTAACAGAAACTCAGAGTAACAGAAACTTATTCTGATAGTTGAGTTTTATCTATGACTGTTGTGATATAAATTATGATTAGTTCAACAGGATAGTTTTTAGGGGTTACACCATAACTTTCCTTCCCTGGCATCCTTTGGAAGTGACCACAGTCCCCAGTCAACAAGTCCATAGATATTTTGTCTGTAGATTAAGAACAGAGTTGGAAACATTAGATATCATTAGCATTGTAACCTTATTTTTTTTCCAAATAGACAGCTTTCATGGGGAAACAAGTTGAGCTAAATATGAATAACTCGTCTTAAATCTATTCCTATGACTGTGAATGGGGTAGCACTCAACTCTTCCCAGTCCAGCTCAACTCCTTACCAAATGCACACATTGGTTCTTGGTCTACAGCCTTAAATATTGCACCATTTAGTCACAGCAACAAGATACTGTAGAAAAGCAAAAATATCTTCTCATTGTAAATGGGTGTACCAGGTTAAAAATGTTTGCTACGAAGTCACTAAGACAATGAAACAAACCCACCAGATGAGAGGAAAGTAACCAATGGACAAAATATGTCCTATTATAATATTTATATATAAGGATAATAATACTAACTATAGGATAATAACAAAGCTAGTGAGCCTAAAAGCCATAATCTTGGAAGAAAACCCTTAAAGATCCTACCTGGCAGATAATTAGGTTCAGAAACATAGTTAATATGTCAAAAATGTGTTTATGAGCCACCTATTTCCTCCAACCCATTTCCTTTAAAAATATCAAAAGGAATCAAGTTTGCTTTGTACCACACAAATTGTAGGAGGTGAGAACTGGTTGACTGCATTTATTTCTCATTCAATTTCCTTTTCCCTCAGTATTTCAGGTGTAGTGCACTGCTGGTCTCTTCAGATGCTAGAACTGTTCCTTTGTTCTTGTGAGAAGTTTGTTTTGTATATTATGGAAGCTAAGGGGTCTCTGATATTGCCCCTTGCAATCATGTCCAATCCTTTTCCTATCTAGATTCCTATCATGTTCACACACATACTTTCCACAGATGAAAAAGTGATCAACATTCTATTTGGAGAATTCCCACTGTTTTCTCTGTTTCCCAAGCATTTATCTCCCTTTTCAAATGTCTGCGTCGTCTTCTTCTCTTCCATAATTGTACAACAAAGGTCATGGGGCAAACCTTCCCAAGTCTACTCAAGTAATAGCACTCATTTCAGTTTAAAGGCAGACAGAGTTCGTTTCTAATCTTTCATGAATGTGTATCTGTATATATCGTAAATCATATAATGTTTATTCTGGCTGCTTTACACATAGCAAAAAATCAGTATTAGGCATTCTTTATGTAGCGTGATCCACTCTGTACTTTTGTATGGGAATGTCTGCATAGATAGGCCCCATACTGGTGATGTTTGACATGCAGAGTTGTTTTACAATTTTCTTTCACCTGGTCTCAAACATTGCCATTGCTATGTTGAGGGATCCAAGATTAGTATAATCCTCAGTTTTTCTTAATCAGAATTTTACATATTTTTAAATTCTGACCTACACTTGCAATAAATGACAGATTCTTCCAATTATTATGACTATTAAGATTATCAATTCCAATCCGCTTAGCAAGATTGGCATATTAAGAAATCATTCCTCACTTTACTCACATAAACCAACTTATGTGTTCTACAATACAGGGTACACATACCAAGCAGCCAAATGAGGATAAAATAGAGAGGTTTGGAAGAGTCAAGAGTAGTAACGGGTAACTATTTAAACCTATCCATGGAGTTTTCCAAGTGCAAGTACATTAAAGTACACATTCCTATTGGTTAAATTCTGGACTTTTATTTACATCAGGCTTTGATAATAAACAGGGGACAAGAGAAGGCACTGAAGGTCATAGAATGAAATGAGTTTCATAACCAGAACATGTGACTGTGATCCTCTACATAGTTTGGCTATTTAAATGTCACCGAATTCAATGGACTTTAACCAACCCAAACAAACAGAAAAGTGCTTCCCCTGTACAAAGAGCCAATGCATCGAGCTAATGCACTGAAGCCCCCAGAATCAGTACCTTATAAACACCTTGTGAGAGAAAATCAAGAAAAACACAGCAATAGTTAAGAAACAATACTGACATGAAATTATTTCAATGGTCTGAAGAGAATAGACTGTGAACTCGACTGTTTATTTTTCAGATCCAAGCAAGAATATTACTTTTTTCATTGGGTGTTGTGATAAGTTGGAACATTTGCCCTTTGTACAGTAATGGGCTGGTAGTCTACACTGTTAAGTGATGGTTTGGAGGTGCTGATATTAGGACAAAGACAAGAGGATTCTTAGGATAAGGTCAGAAGTGTAGAGACTCTTTATCATTTGTACACAGCATTGTTTCTGTGGCATTGTTTCAAGGAGCTAGCCTTGGAACAGCACTCCTTTCTCTTCACGGATGGGCCATTGTTATTGTAAACTGATTAATGCAATCCCATTTCAAAAGTTTTCTGAACAGAGTGTACGATGTCCCAAAAAGTGTTTATATAATGGTGTACATATGCATCTTGAAAGATACATTTTGTATTGCGCTTCAACCAAAAAAGAACTGTATAGCAGTGTAAATAATAATAAATCTTAAAAGCAATAGTTTATCCTAGAAACAATATAAATATGTTTAAATATCACAGGAAGTTAAATATCTCCAAATTCTTTAGATTTTAATAGAAGGGGTTAAGTATTCCAGAATTATGATACAATACCCAGGTTTAGCCAAGTAGTATGAAATTCAGAAATCAAGTTGCTGGCCTTTGATCGCAACTGTCCTGATTTTTTTAAAGCAAAGAACGGAGGAGGAAATAACAATATCCAAGTCCTAGTATTACTATCGCATCTGCACCTCGCAGGAGCAGCCTCCGCTGTTGCAACACCAGTATCCCTCAAGTCATAGTTACTCGGACCTTTCCACCTTACCTGATCCTACAGGTAATGGGCACGGGGAAAGAACAACCAAAGGCGCGGGTGTTAAGAAAGTGGAAGCAGCGCTGAAAGGGTGGAAGGGAAATAAACTTACAGGAGAGCCTCCGCGCGTGTCTCGCAGGGCGCGGTGGTACACCTACGGACTGGTGGAGCTTTCTCTCTTCTCCCTTAGTTCGGTCTCTCTGCCCGCTACAAATCTTTCTCTTCGCCTTCTGGGCACGCTGGTGCTACTATTGCTAGAAGGCGGAGGCTCCGCTCAACCCAATCCCCTGGGTAACTCGAAGGGAGTGTCATGAGGCTTGGATCTGTCCGGTGTTAGTTCTGGATTTATAGGAAGGGACGCTGCCCGCTTGTTTCCCATCTAGCTCACTCCACCCGCCCCATTCCCTCCTAGGAGACCCCCTTCTGGCTATCTCGCTTTCTTCCCCCGCCCCGCGGCCCCTCCCAGAGCGCGTGACCCAGCCTGCCTTCCAACCTCCACGATCCTCTTCCCCGCCCCACGGAGTCCACCAGTAATGAAATCGCTGCGTGGACGGACACGCGTGTGCTTCAGCTTCGCCTTCTCAAGCGCCTGAAGCCAAGGTATCCCACCAGCGCGCTTCCTTCTCTCGCTTCCCTCGCCCTGCATCTTCAGAAGAAGGAGGCCAAAGCGGGGAACGATTCCCTCCGTTTGAGGGAGAGTCCTTTGCAAAGTTTTACGTTCTTTCGACCGGTGAGGAAACTGAAGTTTCAGTGGGTTGGTGGGTTGTTTTTTTTTTTTTTTTGCGTTTATCCGACGGAAGTGGCGCTTTCCCCTTTGATAAAATGCCCGCATTTCCCCGCCCCTGCCAGAAAGCGAACAGCTCGTTCACATTTTCGGGGGCCTCTACGGAGGTCCTCATGGGAACAATTACTTGAGGCATAGCTCAGTATGGTCTGGGCGTTGCACCGGGAGTGTGTGAATTGCAGACAATTTCACACACAGTTAGTTCCCATCATTTCACTGATTGCCGAAATTCTTACATTGTATGTATGTATGTGCTCTGTGTTTTGTGTTTAACCCTCTTACCTTGGGTTCAACATCAGGCAACCTAGTTGTTGTGTTGTGCCCTACCCTTGGCTTGGATTTTTGTTTTTGTTTTGAAAAAGCATATTAGGAGACTCTGGGGGTTAATCTGGGCAGTTTAAAGCACTGCTTGATTCCATCAGCACATGCTACCCACTTCCGGGAACATCAGCAGTCACAAATCAGTTTGTCGGGGTAAAATCCCTGAGGGGAGACATGGCATTAAAGAAAAGCAGAAATGCTTGCACCGTGGAACAGAAGGTGGACAAAATTTCCTCTTAGATGGCTGCTGGCTCTTATCACAGAAAAAGGGAAGCACCAATGTATATATAGTCCTCAGCTTACGACGACGACAATGGAGCCCAAGATTTCTGTTGCTAAATGAAACATTTGTTAAATGGGCTTTGCCCCATTTTATGACCTTTCTTGCCACAATGGTTGCAGTTGTGAAGTTAGTGACCCAGTTGTTAAGTGAATCTAGTTTCCTCATTGACTTCGCTTGTCAAAGGGGATCATGGGACCCAGGGACACTGCAACCAATCATAAATATGAGTCAGTTTCCAAGCAACTGAATTTTGATCACGTGACTGTGGGAAGACTGCAATGGTGTAAGTGTGAAAAGCGGTCATAAGTCACTTGTAGTGACTTTGTAACTACAGTGCCATTGTAATTTCAAACAGTCACTAAATGAAATGTTGTAAGTTGAGGACTACTATCTGTAATCTTGTGTCAGCTGCCCTTTCCTCCGCTTTGTACAATACCGTGAGGGTTCGTGTATGAGTGGTAGCTTCCTCTACTACAAAGTTGCACATCTCTGCCTGTAGCCTTGTAAATTTCATCTAATGTTGCTTGTAAATTTCATCTATTCAAAGACTTCCCCTCTTGAGAATGTGCCAGTCTTCACCTAGAAAGAGTAGCTGGTTGCTGGTAATAAGCAGTGTCTTTCATCCCGACTTCAGGATCAACCACAAGAGGAGCTTGATTTTCCTCAGCCTATCAATGCACACCAGCCTTACCAGCTTTGGTCCATGAGAAGCCCAGAGTGAGAAGACAGTCGTCCTTTGGAAATTGTCAAAAACATGAGAAAAATGCACAACGTCTATTGAAATCCTTTTGTAACAGGATATAAAACTGAGTAGTTGGCACTATGACTGGAAAGCAGAGGACAGGGTTCACAGTAATTGGATAGTTCATGGATGGATGCATTGAAAAAGGCAGTGGATATCTGGGAGTGATGGAGTTAAGAAACAATATAATTGGACCCTGGAGTATGAAATATGAGCGCATATAATAGTTATGTGTAAATGGATAGAAAGTAGTTCTTGCAGCATTTTCAACTCATCCAGGCAATGACAGAGGCTAAGAAAAGATAATAGCAATAAGACTTCACAGTGCTTTACGGCCCTCTCTAAGTGGTTTACACAGTCAGTATATTGACCCCAACAGAACAACCTGGGTCCTCATTTTACGGACCTCAGAAGGATAGAAGGCTGAGTCAATTATGAGCCTGGTAAGATTCGAACTGCCAAATTGTAGGCAGCCAGCAGAAGTAGCCTGCAGTACTGCATTCTAACCACTGTGCCACCACAGTTCTTATGGTATAATGATATTATCCATACCATAACTAAACGGGGAAGGCATTCCTTCTGGTTTGAGCATGCAACTTTGACTCTTCATGAATTGAGGAACTTGGTTATGATCTGGAAAATTGGCACTAGTATATGTGTATGTGTACATGTGTATGTATATTCATATTTATTCTAGTAAATGCAAGAATAAATGCATTGAAATCTTAAATACAGGTTTTTTTTAAAAAAAATGTACACTGCTTATACGGCGGTCAGAGATGCTGGAATTGTGACGACCCAGGAAGAAGAGTTGCTAACGAAGAAGGACCAGTCAAAATTTTTACAGAGATAGAATAGAATAGAATACTTTATTGGCCAAGTGTGATTGGATACACAAGGAATTTGTCTTGATGTAAATACTCTCAGTATACATAAAGAAAAGATACATTCATCAGGAGTTGAGAATCATAAGGTACAACACTTAATGATAGTCATAGGGTACAATAAGCAATCAAATCATACTAGAAAACAGTCGATAAAAATTGTAACTAGAAAAATGATAGAAATAGATAATAGAAGAGTAAAACACTGTAAAGGTTGATGTTGAGCCAGCAAGATGAGAATGATATGATTTATCATCAGCAGTGGAAATAAGGAAAGCATGAGAGATTGACAAGTGGATATGCCCTGGGTGACAAATAGAACAACGTATATCTCAGTTCGGGAGGGGGTTGATGCGTGGCCTGATAAGCAGGGTTGTCATAGAGATCTTCCAATAGTTGCAACCAGTTAACTTGAAGCATCCTTTTGAAAACTACTCCAACAATGCATTTTTACAAATGGGAATGCAATGCAGAATATAATCGTTTGAAATTTTCATTTATTTAAATGTCATGATGTAATTTACCAGTGAAAGAAAAAAAAGTACATGGGATAAAATATAGTAAAAATAATGGTCAAAAGGTAATATATGCACACCTTTGGCAAATTGGTGTAATCTTCCAAAAAATGTTTACAAACATTCATATATAAGAATTATAAATTAAAACAATACATATGTATAACTTCTATCCTCTGAACTCCAATTCTTAAACTGAAACACCACATTGAACTGAACTTTGTGTAGGAAAAAACTTTCACTGAGATATTATTTCTTTATTGTTTATTTAATGCAATTGTCAAAGTTCAAGCTAAACACCAAAAGAAATATTATAATTTCAGTAAATTACAGTTATTGTAGGGTATGGTGTAAATCCAAATACAGGTAATCATTGACATAACAGTTCATTTAGTGACCATTTAAAGTTACAACAGCTCTGAGAAAAGTGACTTATGACCATTTTTCACACAAATGACCGTTGCAGCATCTCCATGGTCATGTGAACAAAATTTGGATGCTTGGTGACTGGTTCCTATTTATGATGGTTGCAGTATGCTGGGGTCATGTGATCACCTTTTGAGACCTTATAAGCAAAGTCAGTGAGAAAACCAGATTCACTTAACTGTGTTACTAACTTAACTGCAGTGATTCATTTAACAACTGTGGTGAGAAAGGCTGTAAAAAACAAATATTTCACTTAGCAAAATAAGTTTTGGGCTCAAACATAATGTGTAAATGAAATACAAAGAGAAAATACCGTAGGAAAATACAGAGTTGCATTAAAATAACAATAAGAATCTTATGGGAAATCCCACTGCCTATATTGAGAATATTAAAATGACATGCTATGATATGGCTCAAACATGAATTTTTAAAATTTTGCTTGGTGACAAGTACTTGAAAACTCAGTAATGTGAAAGCTATTTGTAAACCTTCAGTCAATGTAATACAGATGTTCCCTCTGGAACAGATCATATAATTAAAAAGAAAAAGTAAATGGATAGATTCATTCAACTCTAGTTCTCATTAGAAAAAATATTTCAGATATTGTCTAAGTATCATTGGGGTTTCTAATCATAGGTGATCCTAATTGTAATGATGCCAAAATATGGACACAAGCTTTGATATGCAAACCATTGCTCTTTTCTATTTGTGTTTTGATATTGCATTCAATCCATAAGGGGATGATATATGGTAGAGGAAGAGATACTTAAAAGGCATCTGATTGGTCCCCATTTGAGGCTATATTATATAAAGTTTCTTTAATGAACACTTAAATTATTTCTAAACTTAATAATTATGATGATGGCAGTGGTTGTGGAGATGATAGATGGCTGCTATTATGCATTTGCAAGTACACCTTTTCAGCTTTCTCTTAATCTTGAAGCAGGAGTTACATGTTTCTCAGCAGCTGTTCATGTATATTCAATGGATAACAGTCTGGCAGTTGTGTGCTTGCACATCTGTTTACCAAGTCAGAAATTCAAAGGCATTCAGAATGACTCCCAAAGACCCTTAGGAGACCTTTTTTTTGTTTACTTCAATACTATACGCACTACTTCAAGTCATAACTGTAGGTATTGTTGGTCCAATTTTGTTTAGATTCTACCTATCAATTTAAAGCACCATTACTCTATTCTTTAAAGCTAACATTATGATACTCCAGAAAACTGGGCTAAATTAAGGATATCTTTTCACATGATGAATTCCAGAAGGCAGAATTGTCTGGTTTGTGCACTATGCAATATAAAGCTGGCGTAATAGTCAA